ATGACAGCTTACGCACGAAATACTAGATGATACTCAAAGTACTCCAAATCAGTTTAATTACCGAATTATTTCCCACGCAGTTTACTAGCTGATACGTTACTTATCTCCAAAAATATAATATCTGGATCTCAATTTATGAAATTCCAGGTATATTTTATCAGTATTTTCAACCTGCAGGCAAATCTTCGTTTTTTAATGTTTCTAAGGACTCTTTCATATTTGACTTACCTATTTCACAGTCAACTCTCAATTGTGGGAGGTAATAAATACTCGGGTATGTAAAGAAAAGCAAAAAAAGATGGTCCTCCATTATTGTAATTAATATGCGGGTACTATGAAACTGAATTCTTCAAAGATTTTTTAATGAGCGAAATACAAATACAAAATAAAGCTAAAGTAAATAACAACAACAACAACAACAACAAAAAAAAAAAAAAAAAAAAAAAAAAAAAAAAAAAAAAAAAACCACACAAAAAAAGGGGGGGAGGGGAAAGAAAGAAGGAAAGGAAAATCTGAAAGGCTTTCGATTTTAAATTACGGCCAAAGGCGCATTTCTTCAATGTATGTGTGACCTTTATTTATCAAATATTACGTTCTTCGCACTTAAATCATAAAATTCAGTTCAAGAGCAAAATCGCAAAATAATTTTAAAATGAGCATATCTTTAGAATTTCCGATACACACTCTCAGGCGCTGGAGATAAATTTTTTTTTTTTTTTTTTTTTTTTTTTTTTTTTGTAGAACATTACCATTGCTCTCTTCGAAATCCTTGAGTTTGTTAATCAGAAATTCGTTAAATTTTGACAAAATCGATAATAAAACAAATTCCAAATTTCAAATGCTCATATTCGCAGTAGGATTACGTCATTCGAAATTCGATGGCTCTCTGTACCGTTGTTTTATCGCAAGACGAGAAACATACATACATTTATGCAAATTCTTCATTATTTAATTTCTTCAAATATAATACACGACGATAATATTTGGTGGCAGCAGTTTGAAAAGTGAAACGGACATTCCGAGTGATTCGACGCAAAATCGCAAAAGGAAAACAACAGTCCCTCAGAGACAGACCCCCTATGGACTAATAAACATTTTACATAGATTTACAGTTTTTCTATTGAGAAAAATCTGTTTCGTACAATTTTGGTTTTGGTACCTCTTCCCACAATGAATGAAAGCTGAATTAATACTGCATAGCGCAAGGCTACAGCACAATGGATGAAGCACAGGGCAGGGCTATACTATTATACAATCCCTAACCCATTTTAAATATTCATATTACTTTATTTAATTGTCTCCATTGTCCTATCTTTGCTATTTCACCTGATTCCTCGCTTTCCACTTCGAGCTATTTTTCTGGTCTCTCTCAACATGAAACGGTTGGTCTGATAAACGTTTTCGCAGCGGTGAATCTCTGCAATCAGAACATCTTAATCTGGTAGTCTTTAATCTTATGATCTTGATTATATAGTCTTCGTCACCATCCACCTATACGAGTGTGTTTCTTTACTTATAATTTAAAGCCTAATGATGTTGTCTCTTCATCAGAAATTTCTTTATATATTGATATCGAGAATATTATTTTACGCTGATAAATTAGTGCTAAATTTTTAATAGCATTCCAGACATTTAGAAAACCTCCATTGATAGGCTGGATAAGACCGCTACTACTGGTAGCACGATTCGGGTTCGAATCCCGGTAAACAGCTTATCTTCATGGCCATTTTCGTGAATTTCGTCATGCGCAACGTGAATGCATGGCAGCTTTCCTTAGGAATTCTTCAAGAAGGCATTCCACCCTTCAGTTAAACAGTCGGAAGTTTCTTTGCGGTAACTAATTAAAGGAAAACCAAGTCCGAGAGATTAAATAGTATTCGATTCTACTGAGATACGTTGCAAGAAACCTTATGTGGTTTAAAAAAAATATCAAAATTATTCCCGTATTAACCACTTGAAAGCTTTTAGTGGGATGACTCTCGAATAATACGCTAGCAGATATTAATGATTTCAGTGTAATTGTTAAGATTTGGCTGTTTGAGAATAAATTCACTTATTCTAGTTGATGATCATAAGATATGAAGAGCGTATACGAGCCAGTTTCCCTTAAAACGTCTTCAATGAAGGCCACCCTCCCCATAAACAGGTAGCCCTCGTATGCTTTACCGTAATCAAATAAGCCAAACATGGCGACACTAAGATAATGCGAACCAAGGGACTTCTTTGGACTTGTACTCGAATTTGTCGTACTATAGTTCGACCGTATGAAGCGCAACCCTGGTTGGCATTCTCCCAAAACACATAGACTCGTCCAAAAGGGGCGGTATTACTTGCTGCGACGTTAAAGGTCTTCTCTTCTCTGGAAATAGCTATGCTAGAGGGAAAGAAATTCCCCATCCTTCCACCCTATTTTGAGAATAATTCGGTCCGAATGGCGCATGCGTGTTTGCGCTCATGGTCGCGGATGAGGCGTTCGAGTTATACTACTTGGCTTAAATTAGAAAAACGTGATATAGTAAAAAATAACTGATCATTAAAGCGAATGTGGCTTATCTTTGTCATTACAACAATGATCTTAGTCATTACAATTATCTTATCTTAGTCATTACAACGTCACTTTCTTGACAATTTTGTTTCTTTCGTTTTGCGTATACATATCTTTCGCAACGGTGATTTAAAATGAAAAAAAAAAAAAAAAAAAAAAAAAAAAAAACATTTTTAATGGCCTCTTGAAAATGATTAATCGTTTTTTACATAACATAAGTTGTATAATCGAAATTTTAGTTGAAGATGAAATATGTATATTTTATTATGAATATTACTATACCACAGAAATTTTACATTATTATTCTGTTTTCTATTAAACTACATTACATAAGTTTCATTTTAGCGTCCTTTAGATTTTATGTGAAATACTTTTCGTGAAATAACACTACTCACTGTACTTCTAGAAAAGAATCTAAATATCCTTCGTATACGTATATTGTTAAATTCCGATTTCCCTAGATTAAGGACCATGATTTTTAAGCATATTTGTCCCATTCCTGTCTTAATAAATCATTAATGATCAATCTAGTTTAAAATATGAACTGAAAATGTATGAATATAAAAGTTCTAATTTAATTTACTTGGTTGATTTCATTCTGCTTTTGTGTATGTTTTATTCTAAGTCACCGAAACTCTGATTTAGAAGACCACTCTATCGTTTTTCTCATATATGTTTTTTTCTTGAACAAAATTACCAGGCTTTCAAAAAGATCGCAATATTTAATTACTTATTTTTAATGTGATAGACATAATTTTTTGCAGTTGTGGGGAGTCATTACGTTATTTTGATGCAGGGGAAGTAAAAAATGAGCAATGCCCTTGTCAGGACTCTAACAGGACCTCTCGTATACACGCCGAGTGTGCTACCGTTACACCACGAAGGCATGTTGGAATGAGGAAGAAAATACCTTATATGCTCCCCCTTTTTTAAAACGCATTAAGGGCCTCAACCTCCAAATGTTTTTGGTCACGAATTATTGGCCACCACCTTTTAGTTAGGGCGCCACTACAGAGGCATTAGGTTTGTTTTGGGGAAAGTAGGAGACTTGAAAAATGAGGAATGCCGTTGCCGGGACTCGAACTTGGACCTCTCAAACATGAGTGTGCTACCGCTACATCGCTAAGGCATGTTGGAAGGAGGGAGAAAATACCTTATTTTTAGAAGTATTATAGTGGAAATGATACTGAAATTAGTAAGAAGAAAAATTAAGCATTTTCTCCTTTGTCGGAGAATATTTTGTTTATCATTGATAACGGGACTCGATTTCCCACGAAACGGGAATTGATATTTATGATTTAGTTTCTTTCATTATAACGTAACTACGAATCAAATTCTCTCAGAAAATCTGATGATACCATTTTTAGAATAAATATCCTATTCTACTTTATTATAACAATTATAGAGTTAAACCTGACTTTTGAATGAAGGCAAATATTTGAAAATTTGCATAGAAAATGTATAAAAATACAGTTAAATTTTATTCATTTGCAGATACCTTAAAGAGATTTTAATAAAGTCTTTGCATTTGAAACACACTTTGATTCTTGAGTTAAAATCGCATGCACTCTAGATCTTGAGTCATTAGTCTTCAAACTTAGGAATGTATATGCATTTAAATTTAATTCATTTTTAAGGTCTTCAGTAATGTTTTTCAAAACATATTTCTCTGGTGCTATGCTGCTGATTTCTCTTGCATACTGAAATACTTCTAATGATTTTCACATCAAAGATTAATTTAGATTAATATTATAGCAAATTAATTAATATATACCTTTATTTTTAATTGTAAAAAAATAAAATTTTAAAATTAATTGGTACTTTGTAAATGCTTTAGATAAACACAAGGAGTTTCAATCTAAACGGATTTATGTTTTTTTGTGAACCAGTAATTCATAGTTTAATATACAGATGGGTGGCTATAATAGCATTACATATTAAAATACTGCTGTCCAGATTAAAGACAGAAATGTCGGCTCGTTTTTCGGTGTTTTTAATATATTTGATATAGTCTATATATTTATAAAATGTCATACATTTGGCTAGTTTGACGAATTTTCTTTTAAATATATTATGCTGTTCCAGTGGTATTATTGCAGTACAAAGGAATTTAGGTATTTCTGTTTATTTAGTAGAGAATACAACTGTTTTCTACTTAACTGTCAGATAAATTTACAAAGGTTTAAATTTATATCGCAGTTGTGTAAGCAATTAAATATAAATGTAGATCGAGTATGGAACAGAAATAATTTGCAGGTAGAGTCTTCTTTAAGGAAATTTTAGGTTTAAGTGAAAATAAATAATTTCTGAAAAAAAAAAATTGATTCACTTAATTAAGATATTTATGACTTTCGGAACTTAATTTATTGGATTAATTATCATATGCTTTGCAAATGTTTGTTTTAGTTAATTGCTTGAGCGTTTTAATTAAAACTTTGCATTTTTCTACTTCCAGGTACCACGAAAAGAAGCACGAATGGTGATTTGAATCAACGAGACATCAACTAATGTATAATACCTTCACTAATATCCCTCGTGTTTGAAAATTGCAGGACTTTCAAACGAACGAGAGTTGAGCTGCCAAAAGCAACCTTTATCCTTTCTTTGTTAGAAGGGATTTCTTGAGAACTTTTGTGTACAGTGTACGCTTGTAATTTGGAAGCTGTTTCTGCGGCCTAATTCAAGAAGACCGTTCACCAGTTCCCAGTAATGCTTGTTTTGGGTCGCAGATAATGGAAAAGCCAAATGTGTTTAATGTATTATGTATCTATAACCACTTGCGTTTAAAATTTTCGAAATTTATTTCGATATAATAATGCTAAGTTGTGGCTTTAGTAGCAAACATAATGAAGAATGATTCTTGAATCCACTAATAATTTAATATTAAAAGTCCTACATAAGAGAACACTTAAGATTTTATATTAAAATTTTATCAAAATAAAATACAGCGTATAAAACAACGATACACAGGACAGAGTATAAAACAACAGCCTATAAAACAACGATACACAGGACAGAGTATAGAACAACAGCCTATAAAACAACGATACACAGGACAGAGTATAAAACAACAGCCTGTAAAACAACGATACACAGAACAGCAGGTATAAAACAATGGCACACAGTAACAGCGTATAAAACAACAGGGTATAAAACAACAATATAGAATGCAGTTTTTAATCCACTATATTGTTTTTAAAAGAGTCATTGAAATAATACATATTGGGTTGGAATTGTAACAACTGAGAATCAAGTACAGAGAGTTAATTTTACCTCACAATCATAATCAGAATAATTGAAACACACAACTTGGAATAATATAAAAATATTCTTATTTCATGGTTTTTAGGATTTCGAAGTCGCTAATACGGTCACCTAGGTGTACTTGGAGGAAAGAGAATTGCTTTTATATTAAAGTTTTCACTTCGAAAGTGGCAGCATTTAGCCGAAGTGCAAACAGGGACAAATTCTACAAACTCAGTCAAGGTTCGCTGCTTATTTATATCTTCAAGGAATAATAAGTAGAGTGAATTATTGAGGGAAATAAATCGACCTAATTTTTAAATATGTTTTCAGGAAAACCAAATTCGTTTGGCTCTTGGATATTACAGATCTCAGAACTGAAATTAGACGTAAAGTAACTTTGCTTTCTTTTTACCTAACATTAAACGAAGCATTGCGAAACTGTACTAAGGAAAAAATGTTTTTATGGATTTGAACCGTATAAATCCTAAATGAAATTTATTCTAAATAACTGTTTTATTATAAATAATTTACTATTAATTAATAAGGAGCTAATTATTCTTTTAATATACAGCCAAAAATGGTATTGACAATAATGATTTTGCAGATACAATTGTAAAATTCCTTTTTCTAATCATAATGCAGTATATGTCATTTGTAAATAAGTGTCAATTTATTGAAATGAATTTGAAGTCTGGGAACAGAAGGAAAAAGTGTAAATTTTCAGTGTAATTTCTAACCTTTTGAAGTTGTATAGTTAGTTAAATTTATATTATGACTACACTTAAAAAGGTATGACTATACGTAAAAGAAGAAAATATTGGTTATGATACGCTACCTCACAGGAAACCTTCAAAAACCTTCGGAAAGTTTAAAATTAATTTTTAAAACAGAGTTAAGAACGAACTTAACTATTTGTTCTTTGAACTGCTCTTTGATTTTTTAGGCTTTCAATTATTATTATTTACAAAATAATGTGTTGGATTAGAGTGGAATATTTAGTTAAGGGTAAATGTGCGATAATAACTGTCAAGATGTGTATTAGTTTTCACTTAACTCAGAATCACCGGAAATGTAATGCAGAGGTCTTACAGTCTTCTTCTCTACTGTCAGAATCTTGAAAGGATATGCGAATCGAACAAAATACCCCACTTCACAAAGACACTTTAATCACACATAATCACGATTGTAATCCGAACCTAAGCCTAACGACTTGTCGTTGCTCTCACCACCATACCGTCTGGAAGAGTCAAAAGTTGAGAAAACACCTCTCCTACATTTCAGTCCAAATATTTACATATTTTGGAGAAATTTTCCAAAAACTCTTAAAGTAAGATTTATTGTATTAATTTCCAAGTTATATTTTGTTCGTCGATATCGGTTTGAGGACTTTGTTGATTGCTAGTATCTGTGTGATTATAATTCTTCGGTTCAAATATTATATAAGAGTACAGAAAAGAACATATTTATTATAGTTTAGAGAAGGAATGCACATGATCAATTAGGAAAGAATTAAAAAAATTAAAAATGAGTAGTTTTAATTTTTATCGATCATAGGAAATGTTTTTCAGCCATTCCTGATAGTCTTAAATAATATGATATTTAAATAAATATTAATTCCTATCAAATAATTTGTTAAAATTTATTATTTATTAACTATTATTGTAACCATGAATTATTGCCTCATATAGTACCTTTAGCAGAAAAACCTCAAAACAATTAAAATATTAAAATTTTTTTAAGTTTCTAAAATTTTCTTTATTACTATTAGAAAAAGACAGTTAATTATTTTAATTATTCGGCTTGTGATTTGTCTTTTGACTGTAACTATTTTAAATAACAAAAAGTAATAATAAAAGCAGGCAAAACGGAATACCAAATATATAAGCAACATATGTCTCATATGTTGGTCATATGTCCCATATGTTGGTACGGTTACATATAATTTAAGTGGTTTAAACATTTGTATAACTAAATTTTATCATGAGTTACATTTAATAGTTAGTAATAGTATTTTTAATATTTAAATATTAAAACAGGCCCGTTGTACAAAGTGTATCAAAATATTATTTGTATATTTTCTTTTGTTATTTATCTTCTGATTTGTACAGCGCTTTGTAAAATGGTTTCCTTTCATTTATGGTATTCGAAAGATTGGGAAATTCTGAAAGTTTGGCCGTAGAAATTTGTTATGCTGCTTCAAATATTCATTGGTAAGCTAAATATGCTTTGTAAAACTAACTAAAGCTGTTTTATATCCAGAAAAAATTACAAGTGTCTTTAGTACTGTAAATTTCAGAAAAAAAAACTGCTCTTATGCATTTAGTAATTATTATCAAAAGCGAAAGAAATTTCATTAAGAAAAAAATAACTCAGACAATTAGAAAATAGAAAAATTTATATTACTGAACTGAGTGTTAACAAATTTCTGCGGCATTCCTAGTTTATTTTAAGGGCGACATATTCTGTTAAGTTTTGGTGGGAAACTGTAAACCCTTTTGCACTTTCATTTAAAAGAAATTAGAATTGGGATGAATCGTTGAAATACTTTTGAGAACACGCATTTTACTTCCTCTTGTGACTGCAAGTGGTGAATGATATCTTTTGTAAATATATTTCCTATATTACTATGTAATTAATATATGTTTTTGATAATAAATATTTGCTATTAAATGGGTGTAGTTTTTTATAGCTGTCCACAACTGCATCCACCGTTTTTCCTTTTAAAATTCACTCATGTCCATTAATTAAGGATAATTCGGAGTCACGCGAATATCGAACTCTAAAATAAATATATCACCTGTAAAATCACTACACACATCTTCAAGAATCATATGCAAATTTCAGGAAGTAACCAGATGACACCGATGGTACGTCACAATGACGAGAGTGTAAGAGAGTGATATATAAGGAATACAGGGAAAGTAAAATTGTTCGCAGGCACTTTATAAGCATTTCAGTGCAATAACCGAATAGTTATGACACAAAGGACGCATTTGGATGATTTTTTACGTGGTAGAATTATCGACCGTCTGGAATGTGGGCGTACCCAACTGGAAGTATCAGACGAATTTGGAATTACCCAGAGTGTCATCTCCAGGCTTTGGCAACGATTCCAATATAATGGTAATGTGAGTAGACGTTACAGCACAGGTCGCCTCAGAGTTACAACGCCGAATGAGAACCGGTATTTGGCAGTTACTGCCAAAAGGAACAGGCGGAGCACAGCCTCAGACCTGTCTCGTCAGCTCTCTTCAGCCACTGGTACGACAATTTCAAGGCAATACTTTATAGAGCACTTGCATCAATAAATTTCTGTTTTAAAGCTAAAGAATAACATAAAGAGCTAAAAATTGCCAAACAAAAAACTGAAATATATTTTTTCATATTAACAGAGGAAAATGCTGCGATAGTCTCTGAAATTAATGACATCTTTTTCATAAATTCTGAGAAAGAGAGAGGTATTTTTCTCATTTCTGAAAAATGCTCATTAGCATTCACTTGACACTAGTGACTATAACTGAATTATCTTGGTAGCATCGAAAAGATTCTGAAGTATTTTCTCTTTGCTGTTTCATTTAAGAATGCATACAAGGATATTAAGGCAATGTTAATAACATCGAGTATCACAAAAAACACATACAAATGTGGCAATTTTATATAGTCTGTTCGTAAATTATGACACTTAAGAATTTCCACGCAGACCGATTTTGTATTTTAATTTTATTACCATGATCCCACAAAAACAAACATCTGAAGAGCTAAAAAGTAGAACATGCTTCTTCATTCTGGAGATAGGCTATTTCATATTTATTTGAATTAAAAATAATGCCATATATTAACATTTTAACCTTTAATGTTGAATAAATAAAAATTTAACGCGAGAAAATTTTGTTTAGAAAAATTCAAGCTTTTGACTCTGGTAACAATTTCAGCCTTCCTTTTTTTTTTTTTCTGCATTTCGTTTCTGAGCTTAAAATAATATTGGACAAGTCAATAGTTCAGTTAAATTCATATTTAAAAATAAAAATACTTTACAGAAGAACACCACACTGGACTGTATCACTATCGCTTAATTTTGTTTTTTTTTCAGAGAGCCATATAATTAACATCTCTCGATGACGCCTCAAAAACACACTTGAAAAAACTCAGCAGAAGTGGCCGCGAGGTGGCGCTACAAAACAAGCGTCGGCGTCATCTTACGGCGCGTTTTGAACGCAAAATATTATACATTTTTTTTCATAGATCGCGCTCAATAACTATAAACAAGAAAATATGAAAAATTATAATGTACATCTGTAAAAGATTACTGTTTGAATAAAATAAAATTTAAAAAAATACAAAGCGAAGTTTGCAATCTGTATGCTTCTGAACAATTTCATCAATATGATTATAAAATTTTATTTTAAATGCAGACGATAATATATATAAATAGTAGAATTATACATTTTGTAATAGGTATAACATATGGAGTTAGAAATTCATTTCGTTTATTATACTAACTAGAAAGCCCGGCGGTCATACGAAATG